GAAGATATGATTTTGTAAAATAGAGAAAATAAAGAAGATGTTTTCAGTTTTTGGTTTTTTTTAAGTAACCAAGTACCTATAAAAGGATCAGAAAATAGAAGAAAGGGTAAGACAAATGGGCAGGGAATCTCTGATCTGTCTTCTGTGTATACGTCATCTGTTAAAATCTTATTTTCAGGCAAGTTCCTTCAGGACTTCCTTTAAAAGTATATTAAAACACAAAATTAAAATCTCAGTGCTCTTCAGAACATTTAGCTAAGATAACACCAATCGTAAATCTACAGCATACATTATTTTCTGTAATCCTTGATGGAGGAAAGATACCAGAAAAAAATTCCATCACCTTCTCAGAAATTTATAAGCTCTACCTTTTTTCTTTTTCATTGGTTCATGGCTATCCGGTGATGTAGGAATAGGAGAGGTATCCATTGGTTCAGACTCTTCCGTTGACACCTCCACTACAGTTTCTGTAATGACATCTGGTCTCATAGCAGCATGGATAAATTCTGGAGTTGATACACAAGGAGGGACAAACACTTCCACTATAAAAAAAATTTGAAAAATTAAAATTTCCCACCCCCATTAATGTTTCAATATTTAGAAGAGGTGAGATTTATTAAGAACTAATCAAAGCAGGATAAGAGCTTGATACTGAAGAAGTTCATCTGCTGAATATTCAGTATGAGCTAAAGTATATAAGGAAAATAAATGCAAAGAAAATCAACTTGAAGGAAATGTTAATCCTTTGGGTAAGATGAGGATCATGAGTAGTCACTCCCCTTCTTCACATTTTTAGATACTTTCAAGCTCATTATAGAAAGACTTTGAATTATTTTATCAGTTGGGAAAAAATTTGAAAATAATAGTATAACAGTGAGTTCTTTTAATAATTACTTTTCTTCCATGTATCCATCATTATCCTTTGAGTAGGTAATACATGCACATAGTACAAAATTTGAAAGACTATGTGTATTCAGTAAAAAGTGAGTGCTTACTCACTTATTCATAAGTGCTTACACTTATGAATATCAAGAAAAGGAAAAACCTACTCATTACAGACCAACAAATATCATCGTTCAGTATTTAAAGTTTTATTTAATGGACTGGTCCTGATGCTTTAGATCACTAAAACAGTACATACAGATTGCAATCTGGTATTCTATTAACATGCAGTAATATGGCTCTGGCTTCTTTCCAATATGCATGAATAATCAGGACATAACATTTCTCTTTCAATTAAGAGGTACACACTACCATGGATTAATACGTTGACCAAAAATGCCCTGATTTTCTTCTCATATCTCTGAATACTATATGGAATTCCTATTTCAATTAAAACTATGGTTGCTCTTAGCATATAGTGTAAATCCCTATGAAAAGAAAGGCCAATCTTCCTGTATCAAGTCAAATTAATATTTGGACATTAAATTAAGGAAAACTTAGTATTAAGTTATTAACTATGAAACATCCGATTTCCTTAAGTACTAAGTTTGACAGTTGATATTTCGGACATTTCACTTTGACCCTTCTCGTTTTATTTTTATTGTGAAGGCACATCTCCAGTCTTTCAAACGCATGGTTTGGCTTGCGATAATCTTTCAAAGTTTTTTTTAGAGCAATTTTTGTGAAACCATGGATAAGTCAAACATTTGTGTTATTTTCGAATATGAGTTCCATCGTGGAACCAGCGCAGACAGCTCGAAATAATAACGAAGTGTTTGGGAAGGATGTGGCTAATGATCACACAGTAAATTGATGGTTTGAGAAGTTCCATTCTGGTGATTTTAATCTTGAAAATGAGCCACATAGGTGATCTGAAATCAAGGTGGATAATGATGAGCTAAAAGCTGTAGTGGAAGCAAATCCATCTCAACCTATGTGTGAATTAGCAGCAAGATTTATGTTACTATTCCAACAATATTGGACTATTTGAAACCAATCAGCAAGGGAAAGAAGCTGGATAGATGGGTACCACATGAATTAAACAAGCATCAAAAGAGAAATTGTCTCGAAGCTTGCCTTTCCTTCCTGTCATGACATAAAGGCGAACCATTTTTACACTGCATGATGAAAAATGGATTCTTTTTGACAATCACAAGCATTCAGCACAATGGCTGAATAAAGACGAAGTGACAAAACACAATCCAAAACCGAACAGTCATCAAAAAAAGCTAATGGTGTCTGTTTGGTGGTCCATTTGGTGGTCCAGCACTGGTATATCCACTACGGCTTCATGAAATCTGGTCAACTGATTACAGAGAATGTCTACTGC